AGCTTCGCAGACGGAGCCATGGTCAACGGTGTCGACGTTCGCAGCGCAGTTAGTGAATTTGTGCCTCCCGAACTGCTCGACACCTACATTACCAATCTGTAAGTCCATGATCCCAAACATGACGGCGTTGAGCCACAACTGACATGCTACACAGTGGCGCACACTCGCGGAACCATCTGTCCACTATCATCGCGGATCACTACAAGCCAGAGGATGTTGATTTCCATCTCTGGAGCACGGAGGCTGACCGATGAGTGCTGCCTCTGAAGTATGTCTCTATGGGAAACCCTGGCACGTTTAACGCTGCAGGGGACGCGACAGCGGCGTCCGCGGCCGTGGGGATGATTCGTGGCCCGAAGACGAAAGCGAACTTTCAGCCCTGGCCCAGCTATTGAGTGATGATACCAGGCGCATGCATAGCCTGGGTTCTGTACAAGTATACTAATTCGCGGTTCAATCCTGGGCCCCTTCTCTCTCTAGGGCTAGGGTGAGACTTGGTTCGGCAGCACGGCGTTCAGTTTGGAGGGGTAACACAAGCTCGAGAGGTCGCGGCAGCGTTTCCAACGGCATGGTAGAGAGACCCACTAGATTGCAGGCTTATGTGGCTTGATGTGGAGGGATTACACTGATGGCGTATTGCTGCCTCCGAAGAGGCCGCGTCAGCGCGTTGCAGCACAGAGAGCCTTCTCGAAGAAAAGTGACTGCGAGCTGCTCTTATCCAGGGTTCAATTTAGCGGTGGCTTTTTATTTCATTGGGGGAGGGGAAACCTTGAACAATCGGGGATTGCGAACAAACGCGTGCCCCTCGCAACTTTTGGCTGCGCCGTGGACCGCAGGGGTCGCCCTCAAACAAGGTTGATGCTTATCTTCACCTGGCGTGGGCTCGGCCGCACCGCTTGGGCTCCCGAGGGGTGTGGGGTTTGACCCCCGACCTCTCTATTGAGTGACGAACTGTGGTTCACCGTTCGAGGGGTGGGAATTAGACGTCGTAAGGCTACGCGAACGAGGGGACAAACTGGTCAGAGAGGTTCGCCAGTGGGAAAGCATGGCCATTTGTTCTTGCAAGGTTGAGAATTGGAGAAATGTGATGTAGGGGAGGAGAGGAGGATTGAGTCAAACGGTCAACGGAAGGCCCAACCTTAGCCCAGCCAAGCTACAACAACCAGCTAGCTAATAAGCTCATCAAAGTGCCTTGTATTCCCACACTTTCTTCATCCGCCGTGTGCCGTAGCGCCGTTTTCCACGGTCTTGGGTTTACTCATCTTGGCCTCTTTTCCATCTCACCTCTCGTCGCAAACTACCTACCTTACTCTCTTGTATTTGACCCACCAGTTCAGTGAACAATTTGATAATCTGATCATCGTCGCGAATCAAATATCTTCCAGTCTCGACAACTCTGCTTCCAGCTTCACAACATACCATCCCACGCCGAGCACAGGTCACCACCGCGAATGGCGGCCATGCGAGACCCCGAACTCGACGACGTGCCTCCTCCGCCGTACTCCGAGACAGACATCTACTCAAACTCTGGCCGGCCGTCAAATCCGCCCTCAAACTCACCACACATCTCGTCTCATCATGGCGCCGACGACGCTGCCTCGCGCGGCTCTTCGCACGCCTCATCACACAGCGAAGTCATCTACACCCCGCCATTGACACCCCGCACCGGCGGCCCAGGCAGCAGCGGCGGCGGCGGTTTTCACCATCATAGCTCGAATGCGAGCCTCGACCTCTCCAGCCGCTCTCTCGCGGCAACTGGAGGAGGATCTCACCAGTCCCAATCTCTTTCGGGTTCAGTGTCGGCATCAACAACAGCGTACTCTGAGTTTACAGCGTCCTACTTCGAATCTAGGCCGCCGCCCGCGGCACTCGCCCCGTTATCCAGGGACCAGCTTCTCGTTCACGCACTGACCGTCAACCCGACCTCGACACCGGACGACGTACCCTACTCCCCGGCCTGGGCCCCCCGCGACGTCACGCAGCAGGACTGGGCAACGTTTCTCAATTGCCTGATCCCGCACCACGCTGCGGCACGGAACGAGGCCGTCATCGTCCGTAAGCTGCAGGCCGAGGAGGAGGCCTTTGCTGCTGCCGCCGCTGCCAGGTCGAATGGAAGAGGTACAGGGCAGAGCAACAGCGGCGGTAGCGCTCATGCTTCGGCGCAACTAGATCAGATTCGCGCGGACAGGGAGACCGACCCCGGGGCGGCGGCCGTTGCTTCGGGTACAAGGAGAGAGGAAGCAGAAGGTGTGGTCGCGCAGTGGAACGAGGGGTTCTTCCGACCCAGGGGCATGCTCATCACGCTGGTACCTGAGGTAGCGGAGGACGATCTGCACGTGCCAGGCGCGTGGGACCGGTCCTTTGACAGAAACGCTGAGAATCCTGCTATCGGAGGCGGCAACCGTGATCTTGGTCTCGGTGATGGGAGTGGCAGTGGCGGTCCCACGCCCGTACCATTCCCAGCGCATCCTGGTCAAGGGCCCGCGATGCAAACCCAGCAGCAACCTCAGTCTGGCTCCAACGAATCACGAAATAGCTGGAGCTTTGGCGGTATCACTGTCTCCACGGATGGTATCAACATTGGCGACCGCATTGTCGCAGGCAGCAACGGTATTCGAGTAGGGAACCTTATTGCGGACGAGAACGGCATCAGATTTGGAAGCACTACCACGCCGCGCGCGCAAGCGCATTATGCCGGCCCCGGGTGGGCTCCTCCTCCGCCGCTTGCACCTCCGGGTCCGCCACCGGCGCCCATGTTTGGCGGGCCCGACCAAGTTCCAGGAACCTTTTTCCCGACGGGGCCGCCTCACCCTCAGCCACCGATCATTCCACATCCGAACCCGCAGCATCCCTTTTACCAAGGCAGCGGCCCAGAACAACAACACGCTCGCCATGAGAGCGGAGATGGCGGGAGAGACGGAGTAGCAGGCCGCGGTCGACCTCCCGGCCGGTACCCCTCAGACCAGCGCTCTATCTCATCCTCCTCCGCCTCTTCTTCATCTTCAGCATCCTCTGCATCCTCCGTCGGCTCACTACCAGACTACGAAGATCTCTACCCTTCACAGCTTCCCATCTACAAACAGCGTATCACCACTTGGCTATCACACCCAGAACAGCCCGTCACGAAAGACGATATTGCGCAGCTGCGCGAGGACATACGTTCCGCCGGGTCCATAGCGGCGACGCAACCCTCGCAGCAGCCAGAGACAGGACCAGAAGGTGCAGCAACAGCAGCTACTGCTGCGTCGAAAAAGGCAGAGGAGAAAGCCCTCAGAGCGGAAATTAGAAGCATCACGCAGGACTGGCGCAAACTCAAGCGCCAGCAGCGGGCAACGCGCAAGGAAAAGCGGAAGGAACGCCGCGCGAGGAGGAAAGAGGAGAAGAGGGAGCGGAGGGAGGAGAGGAGGGAAAGCAGGAGGGAGAATAGGGGGGCAAGGCGGGAGCAGAGAGAGGCGCATAGGGAAGCGCGGAGGGGCGGCGGTCGTGGTGGGCTAGGAGGAGATCCTAATCACCATGATCACCAACGTCGGCATCAGCTAGAGCACCAACGGCACCAGCAGCAACAGCAGCAGCAACAGCACCAGCACCAGGCGCAACAGAGACAACACCAGGAGCAGCAGAGACAACATCAGGAGCAGCAAAGACGACACCAAGAACAGCAAAGACAACATCAAGAGCAGCAGCGTCGACATAGCCAACAGCAGCAACAACACCAACAGCATCAACAACAGCAGCATCATCAACAAAATTCACAACACCAACAGCATCAGCAACACCAGCAACACCAGCAACATCACGGTCCCGGACCGGCGCCGTGGGGCGGGCCGACAGTGTTTGTCCCGCCGATTGGTGTCCATGTTCCCCCGCCCCCCGTAGTACACGGCACTCCTCCGATCCCCAACTTCCCCAATAACACCTCTCCTGTGCCGAATGTTTGGGGCATGCCGTGGGGACCTCCAGGGCCGGGTAGAGGTTCCATGCCGGGTGGTTTCCCAGGCAGTGGTCCTCCTGGTCCTCCTGGTCCTGGCCACTGGGGAGGGTTGCCCGGGGCATGGCCATTCACAACAGTACCGCCAGCGCCAGCAGCAGGGAACAGAAGCCCCAGCATCGGCGGCGGCGGTGGCATGACCTCCGCCCCATCCACGCCGACGCCGCCCTCGTCCCAGGCGCTTTTCAAGGCGGTGGAGGACATGGAGAAGGACATCGCCAGAAGGGTGGAGGAGTTAGACAAGGCGAGGACCGAGATGCGGGATAGCAATCCTGGAAGAGGACGCTGCGGCGGCGGTCGAGGCTGGGGCCGTGGCCGTGGCGGGGGATGCGGCGGAAGAGGCGGCGATGACAATACGCAGCGCCTAGAGGAGGAGATTGACGAGTTGTCGAGAAATATCGAAAAACTCAAGGTCGAGGCGGACGCTGAGTTTGCGCGGGAGTTGGCGGCGGAGGATCAGAAGTCTGGGGTGTGGTAGATAGACCACACACCACCATCTCATAATTATTTACCTACCTTATGAACACGGTATCGGGCATGTGTATAGTCTGTAGAAATAACCAGGAAACTTTTCTTTCCATTATACCGCCACCAATGGCCTCGTCTACTGTCTTTTTTTCGGGTACCTTGCTTTGATGCGCCATAACCCAGTCATGAACATGATCGTATAAAGCTTTTGAACTCCGCTGCGTAGGTCAAGCTCGTACAGACAGTCATTCTCGTCCCAACATTGAGCTCTACATTTCCTTCCGTCTGTCCTCCTGATGGCATGAGAGATTGCAACGAAAATTTCGGAACCACATGGCGGTAACAGTTCGAAGAGCTGCATCATCAGCCTGTCAAGTGCCATCTGCCTTATGCTTTTCCCGCCCACGCCGCGAACAGGCGTTTACGCTGTCCCCAAAGGTGAGGAAAGGAGCAAATCTCTTGCCCGCGCGCGGTTTATCACAGCCCCATCACATAGCCATCAGAGCGAGAATCTGGCCAACTGTGCCCCCAGGGAGCTCCACCTTTAGTTCTTACTCTCATTCTTCTCAACAAGCTCCCCAACACCCAACCCGCGACCGACCTTGACCTTGCGCTTCTTATCAGCGGCGGGCGCATTCGGATCGCGCCCGACGTCGCCCACGGCTTCACCCTCGTCTGCGGCTTCACCTGTAGCGCCTTCCTCCTCCTCGCGGTCGCGCTCGTCCTGGATCTGCTCGCGGATGTAGCTCAGGTCGAGCTTCATGCAGTAGGCGTCCTCGCCGTCGGCGTAGTATTTGCTCTCCGTCTTTTCGTTCTTGAAGCCGAGGGTGTCGCGGTAGAGGTGGATGGCGGCCTGGTTGGAGACGCGGACGTGGAGGGAGACGTACTGGGCGCCGAAGGTCTCGACCATGGCGAGTTCTGTGGTAAATGTCAGTCAGTCAGTCCTTTGGTCAATGGCAAAGCCGTAGACGGAGCGTCCGCGCAGGAACAGAGGTGTAAACGTACGACTTTGGCGCATCAGCTTCTCGGCGATACCTAGGCGGCGGTGGGTGCGCATGACGCTGAGACTGGTGATGTGGCCGTGGGCGACGCCGTCGGTGGGCTCCTCCTCCATCTTGGCCAGGACGTAGCCGACGATCTTGGGGTAGTCGTAGGGGGTGCGCTTGGGGCGGGAGACGTCGACGGCGACATAGCTGAGCTGGGGCCACGAGAGGGCGTGGTAGAGGTAGTACTTTAGGAAGTAGTTCTCGGGCAGGTTCTCGAGGTTGGCGTGCTGTATGAGGGGGAGGTCGGCGGGCTTGAGGAGGCGGATATCCATGGTGGGCGAGGTTGTGTCTGAGTCGTGGGGGTTGTGAATGGAACGGACGGGTTCGAGATGACGACGTTGGCCGGCTTTGCCCAGAGTAGCGCAAGGCTGAAGAGATGCAGGGTGCGGTGGTGGGTTGATTCGGCGATGGGAGACGCTGAGGAGGGGAATGTGGTGTAGACTTTTGGAAAGACCCTGGTCGTTGGACCGTGAGGTGGCTGCAAGAACCCCACCACCGCCGCACAAGGCTCCGAGCGTCGCTCAAAACTGCCCCGCCAGATGCTCAGCTAAGATACACGAGCTTATTGCAGCTCGAACTGTACTTTTCCGTGTTTACAACCGTTGACAGGATAGGTCCTTCCTGTTTCGAGCCTTGAGTTGGACCTTGGCACAATCTCTGCGGTGCTTTTCAGGTTAGAAACAGCACTGGAAAGGGCTGAGTTCCACGTGCTCTTTCAGATTCTGGTTCAATTCAACCGAATTGTTTAGCCCAAGCTACTATGCCTAGGTAACTTGAGGCCTGTGATTATATTCGCGATGCTCAATGTCACTACTATACTCTGCTGCTTTCCCGTTTTCTCATGTGCTACTCAGAAAACCGACCTGTACAAACATAGCCGAATCTGCTTTATACTGAGTACCTTCTATTTTACGCCCTAGCACAACGTCAAAGCTTCACCGTCTAATAGACAGTTCTTCCCAGTTTCCAAGAATAGAGGAAGAGCACTTCACCAGTACAACTCCATTTATCAAAATATTGTCAAACATACAAAATCTCATCTGGGAAGAGATTACTCTCTCATTGCCGAGATATTTGGAGACGAGCTTTGGGCAAGTGATTGAGGCTTGTGATGCTTACGGATACCAGGTAGTACTTCTAGGTGTAAGCCGGACTACTCTCAGCTCTGCGGTGATAACGGACTTTGCTTTCATTCCATTCTCATAGCGCTTCTGCATTCCAAAAAATGCACAAGTACACATCATCAGTACAACACGAAGCCCACCAAGAAAGAACCCTCCTTGTCCTCAGACTTAAAACGCTAATCCACGATGATCCAGGACCACCAAAAATCGTGGCCCCCTGGGCGGCGTCGAGCCCACGGCCCGGGATTGGCGCGGGAGAATGACGTGGGGGTGTGCCAGGTGTGGGATGCCCACCGACCGCGGGGCACAACAGATGGAAACTCCAGCGCATAGCTCTGCGATAGCGGGGTAGCTTTCACCCAGAAACACCGACTGGAGTTCCCCCATCCATCCGCGTCCCACGACATCTAGACCTGACAAGTTCAGATCCCGCCCAATGGAACGTGCCGGCGGAAACTGCTTCGTCGCTCAACAAGTTTCTGATGGGTCACGAGAGCTGCTAGCATTACTCATTCGGGACAACCGAACCCTGCCCAGATACCCTAGGTAGGGTTCCTGGTCCCTGAGTAAGGTAAGGTAAGGTAAGGTATCCGTACTCCGTAGTCTATGTAGCTTATAAGAACCATCTCTGGGCTCCCGTCCTCTTCTCATCGTGAACTTTGCCGACCTTGCCTCAGTCTCTCGTCTTCCCTTCTTTGATACCACAACTATACCCTGCCCTCTTTCTATACTTTCAACCGCAACCTACTTCGTAATCACAAGGAGCCAGCAACTGGTTAAAAGCTCCATCGCAATGTCTCGTTCTCTCGATGGCAAGCTCGGAATCGTGACCGGCGCCTCTCGAGGTAAGGCTTTCAATAAATATAAGCTCACGACATTATCTAACGCAGATTCACCGTCCAGGCATCGGCGTTGCCATCGCCGAACACCTCGCCGCCAAAGGCTGCAACCTCATCCTGGGCTACACCTCCCCCTCTTCCCAATCCCCAGCCGAACAACTCGCAACAGACCTGAGCACAAAACACAATATACAGACCCTCGCGGTCCAAGCCGACATGGGCACGCCCGAAGGACCCCAATCCCTAGTCGCAACCGCAAAAGCCCACTTCGAAAAGCTCAACACCAGCAAGAAATTCCAAATCGACATCCTCATCAACAACGCAGGCGTCGCCCAAAACAACCTCCTCCCCGCCATAACAGTCTCCCAATTCGACGTCTCCTACCGCGTAAACGTCCTCGGCCCTTTGCTCCTAACCCAAGCCGTCCAACCTTACCTGCCCCAAGACCGCTCCGGCCGCATCGTAAACATGTCCTCCGTCAGCTCCTCCGCCGGCTTCCCCGAACAGAGCGTCTACGGCGGCACAAAGGCCGCCCTCGAGGCCATGACGCGCACCTGGGCCCGCGAGCTCAGCGAGAACGCCACCGTCAACGCAATCAACCCCGGTCCCGTGCTCACCGAGATGTACGCGGGCAACACGCCCGAGTTCAAGCGCTTCATCAAGGGCTTCATCGAGCACGCGCCGCTGATGAAGGCCAGGCAGGGGATCGACTCGGACGAGCTGGTCAAGGCCGCTGAGGAGGAGGGCGGGAGGCCGGCGTACGTTGGGGAGATTGCGGGTATTGTGGGCATGCTTGTCTCCGCGGACTCTGCGTGGTGCACGGGACAGGTTGTTTGTGCTAACGGCGGTATGTTTTTCGGGTTGCAGTAGAAGAAGCAGTTTATATAGATGGGACTTCTTACGTTGAATTACGAGGCCGTAAATTTGCGGAGTTTGCTGTGTTAGTTACGAGGTAGACTTAGAATCCAATTCCCCATGTTCCGTTTAGTTAGAATTATCCCCATGTTCGGTCCTTGAGCGATGATTTCTCTTGTCGAAAATACGAAAGTCAATTCATAAGTATTCATCTAACCACGTGTTGCTGGGTCGTAAGAGCTCATCTTTAAAAGTTGAGGGTCGAAACTTATGGGTGTAAACCACTAGCCAAAAAATCCGCTGAGTCAAACTACACAATTTTGCCCCGCCACCATTTCAAAGCACCCCTCCATCAACTCTCAACGTCAATTACCAAGACTCACCGTGACTTACAACCCGAAGAGGCACTCTCAGGCGTTAAATCCCAAAAAATCCAAGTTTCACCTATTCACCTTTCATAAAAGTCATCGCCCGCCATGTCTCTAGACCCCTTTGACGACGTCCTCACCCTCGAAGATCAATTCTTCTCGGAGGGCTTCCGCCAAGGCACCGAAGACGGCATCCAAGCAGGCAAAATCGAGGGCCGCTCCGTCGGCCTCGCAAAGGGCTACGAGAAATTCTACGAGAGCGGCAGGATACACGCCCGCGCCGTCATATGGGCCAATAGACTGTCCCTCCCCCAGAAGAATAGCAGCACTACCACCAAAAAGCCGTCCAGTTCTTCAGCGGCAGCCTCAGCCTCGGTTTCGGGCTCGGCCGAGCAAGCCCAACTATCGACAGAGCCGCCATCAGAGTCACAAAACAAGACCTGCTCCCTACCGCCGCTGCCGCCCAACGCGAGACTAGAGAAGAACGTCACGACGGCGTTTGCGCTGGTCGAGCCGGACACGCTCTCCAAGGAGAACAGCGACGACGCCGTCAACGACTTTGACGACAGGTTGAAGAGGGCGCAGGGCAAAGTCAAGATCATTGAGCGCATGACGGGTGAAGTGGTTTCTGCGCCGGAGGCTCCTGCTGCTGCTGGCGATATAAAGGTCCCGGAGACCAAGGAGATTTGAGGGAGTTTTTTCTTTTCTTTTCTTGTTGTTTCTTGTCTTATCAAGGAAGACAACATATGGGGCGGTTTTTGTCGATGGTCGTTTGAGATTTTGAAAACGGCTACATCATGAGAAACGGGGGTGAGATACCCAACGAACGAATAGAGTAGCACAGAGACCTGGAAAGGTCGATTCTTGGAGACGTGGACGTGAAGAAAAGAAAAACGTTTCAATGGAATCTAGTGCCCTTCATATTTACAATTGTCCCTCCTCTCTCCACACTGTACAGCGAGCCCCGCGGTTTCTAAATTGCTCAAGCAAAAGTCCGGCAAGGGTAGCTGTTCACTCAAGGTTAGCAAAGTTCCTCGTCGTCACCAAACCACACGACGCCCCCCTCTCCCCGAGGGAAAAAAGGAGAGCAGAAAGAAATCAAAACTCACCCTTCACCGTAGGTCTGCTCCTCGTTGACCTTGTACTTGTGCACATCCCACTTCCCACTCTTCAAATTCTCACCACTCGGCGTCGGCGGCAACCCATTCGTAAACAGCGCCTCCTTGCTCGCCTCGACGGCGCCCTGCGCGGCGTTCTTCTCGAGGTAAGCCGCGATGCCCGTCGTCTTTCCTTCTTCCTTGGCCGCGACGAGCGCCTTCTCGCCCGCCTCGCCGATGAGCTCGACGCGCGGGTTGGCGGCGGACCCGACGGCCAGCAGGCCGACGACGTCGGCCTGGCTGACGACGCTGATGGCCGGGTAGTTGCGGCGGGCGTCGCGCTTCCAGTACGGGTTGTCGGCGATGTCGCCCGCGGGGACGGTGACGGGGTCGTCGTAGGCCAGGGGGTCGTTGGCGCCCGGTGCCGGGTTGCGGAAGGTCGGGTTCAAGGGCACGCCGGAGGAGCGGTTGGGATCGATGGCCAGGGAGCGGCGGATGCGTTCCCAGATGCCTGTGGACTGGAGGGTGTGCTTCTGTAGGAGGAGTAAGAAGACAAGGTTAGCTACTGTTTGCTCAATTGAGGTCGTTCAATAGTTCGTCGGAGGGGTGGTGGAAATATGGTGGTGGCCGTGATGATTCGTGATGGTGTTTGGATTTCCCTGCTTTTTCGCAGGATCAATTGAGGTTCGTACCTGGGAGATCTCCACGAGACCGCCTGCCGCAGCCTTCGCAATTGCCTTGGAGGCCATCTTTGGCGACGTCTGTAGACGGTGGAGGGGAGATTTGGAGTGGTGGGTTTCGATTGGCAAACGGTTCGATGACCAGCTTGAGGTTGGTTGTGAGGTTCGGGGAACGGGAGAGAGTGCTCCAGTTTCTGGCAAGGAACCGGAGGGCCGAGGTTTTGCCGGTCGAAGCAATAGCCGTGCTTGAATTTGCAACCCAGCACCACCAGTTCTTGGACCAAAGTATCCACTTCACCACTTCCCCTTGTAAAGCTACATCGCTGGAATTTCCGGGGGGTTCATCGCATCGAATCGGCCGTGGGTCAAGATGGCACGCAATTTCGCAACGCACCGCAGAGCTGTGCATCTCGAATACGCCGACGAGGAATGGAAAAAGGCAATGCACACGCCCAACGCCAGACAATCAATTCCCAGCTACTATACGGATACAAGAAAACCCTGCCTTGCCTTGCGCTGTTCAGGCCCTCCAATTGCAAACGCATTTTCCGTCACGAAATTATACTTACACTGCAGCAATATGACATAATTACTCGTCCTTCTTCTCATCCTTCTTCTCGGCCTCATCGGCAGCATCCTCCTTTTTCTCCTCATCAGCCTTGGCTTCTCCATTGGCCGCCTCCTCTTCATCCTTGGCATCGGCGGCAGGGGCCTCAGTCGCGGCCTCCTCGGCGCCGTCGACATCGCCGCCCTCAATCAGCGCCGTGACGACGTCAACGGTGCCCGCGGGGCTACCAGGCTCGGCGATGAGGACCTTGCCGGCCTTATCGACGACGAAGACGCCGCGCTGGGTGCTCTTGGGCGGCTTCTTCAGGCCAATGGCAGCAATCAGGGTCGCCTTGGGGTCGCAGAGCAGCGGGTAGGGCAGCTTCTGCTTCTCCTTGAAGGTGGTGTTGGCTTTGGGCGAGTCCATAGACAGGCCATAGATGGCGAAACCCGTCTTGGTGAGGGGCTCGTACGAGTCTCTGAAGAGGCAGGCTTGCTTGGTGCCTGGATATCAAAAGCTTGTTAGCATGGTTGGTCGGGCAAGAGGTAGGTATTACCAAGCATCTATCGGTGCAGGGACACACTCACATCCGGGAGTCGAGGCTTTCGGGTAGGTGAAGAGGACGACGCCGGCCTTGCTCTTGTCGACGAGCTCCTTTAGGGTCATCTTCTCGCCATCGTTGGTCTCAATGTCGCCGCCGAAGCCGTCGAGGTCGATTGTCTCACCCTTAACCGCCTTGACCTTCTTGTCAGAGCCATTGGCGGCGGCGGGCTTCTCGACGGGCTTCTCGGCAACCTTTTCAACAGGCTTTTCGGCGGGCTTCTCGGCTTTGCCCTTGACGGCGCCCTTGACCTTCTCGGCCGCCTTGGCTACCTTGGACGAGGCCTTCTTGGGCGCCGGAGCCGGAGCAGGCTCGGGGGCCTTGCGCTTGCGAAGCTCGACAGGCATGGTGGTATATAGACTCAGCTGGGATATATGCTGTGTATGGTGGGTACAGGTATCCGTACGGAGGTGTACAATGGGAAGATCGCAGGAAGTGTGCTGCGACTTGAATAGCGGCGATGCGCTGGTGATGCGACCCAGATGCGATGGGAAAAGAATGCGAAATTGCAAGAGATGGGAGGGGGTTACGGGAATCGAGGGAAGTTGAGAGGTAAACAGGAGGTCGAAGAGGACGTCCTCGAGATGAGCCAATCACAGGCGGCCATGGCCAGAGCTTCAGCCGGGACCAGGGGGCTGATGCGATGCAGATGTCCTGCCGTGTTGCGCTGCTGCATTTTGGCGGTGCGGTGCGGTGCGTCGCGGGTGCTGGTGCGGGCGCCCCCAGTCTGTCCCTGTTCAGTGTCTCTTCCCTTCCCACTCACGCCCAGCCTCCCCTCCTCTTTCTGTTTCTCCTTTCTGTCTGGCTCAGCCTAATTATTAAGCTCCGGTCGCCGTGAGCAGCGGTATTATTAGCCGTTGCTGTTTCTGGGGGGGGATGGGCGGACGACGGGGGTTGGTGGTGGTGCCGTGTCAACGTTGTATGGTTGCTCTGCCTTGAAGAGTGCTGGCTCGGAATCTGCGTGTCTGGGTTCCCCCAAACGAGCAAACGAGAGCAAGCAAGCATGGTCAGCGCTCAGTATGGAGCAAGAAAGAGGTGCAGGTCCATCAGTTCGTGCCTTTCGTGCTCTCGGCTGTTTCCCTGCCGCCCGACCTCTCTTAACCTCCCATCTGCCATTTCCCTCATTCTCAACAGTGAAGAACGTCTTCGCACCCCTGTCCATCGTCCAGTAAGCTTTTCGACCATTGCCCGTGCGTTCCTCGACCCCGAGCTGGCGGTCTTAGTGAAGCTAGCCTCCAAGGGAGCGCACGTTCTGGTGCCCGTCCGGCGTCGGGCTTGCTGTGGGGGAAACACCAGATGGCTGGGCCTAAAAGCCGATGTCACCGATGTGAGATTAAGTACGCTGTCTCACCTGCCGAGCAACCAGCCGTCATTGACACTTCTGTCTCTTACACACCGTGCTTTGCGTTCATCCTCTTAATCTCTTTGCTACATCTTACTTTGCTCCGGTGGCAGTCAGTGGTTCGAGATGCCATCACCGACCTGATGAGGATACAGGTCCAACAATACCTCCTCCAAGATGTGTGAGGCAGGCGGAAGCAGATCCTGGCGTAGGACGCCTTGTGTAGGCGCCTTCCAACACGCATATGCACCTTCTCATATGCCAACATCTTTCCAACTGTAACCTGCAATTCTGATTCGTTGGTTCTGGCTATTCACTCAACTCCGTCTCAAGTGAGGCAACGATCTCTTCGAAATCTCATCTGCCCTCCGCTCTGCTAAAGACACCTTCCTCTCGTCAACGAGCACACCCATTCCCTCATCTTTTGCAACCAACTTAGCCTTCTTACTTCATTCCTCAGACCCCATCCGTCTCTAGTTGCAGTCCCTGAGAAACCACATCTGTCTGGCTGCAAGTACCGGCCATGTGGCTCATCAACGTCGATACCCTTCAGCTGGAGGAGTTCATCGAGCCAGATTTTCCTTATGCTATCCTCTCTCATACCTGGGCTAGCGAAGAAGTGTCCTTCCAGGAACTCAAAAACCAAAGAGACGACAATGTATGGAGAAAGTCCGGTTACCACAAGATTTACAACACATGCCGAGTGGCCAAATCCCTCGACTTGGGTTACGTATGGGTCGACACTTGCTGCATCGACAAAGCATCCAGCGCTGAGCTATCCGAGGCTATCAACTCAATGTTCCGCTGGTACAACCGGTCATGGATCTGTTTCGCCTACCTCTCGGATGTGAATGACCTGGCTGGCTCGGCCACATTACTCGAAAACTTGAGGGCTTCTCGGTGGTTCACCCGGGGCTGGACTCTTCAAGAGCTGATTGCGCCAAAGGTCGTCACTTTTTACAATGCGTCCTGGCAGCTACTTGGTTCAAAGGATACTTTGTCGCCCTTCCTATCGTCCATCACAGGCATCGACGAGGCCATCCTTATTGGCAAGGCTCCTCTACTCAAGGTCCCCGTTGCAACCCGCATGTCTTGGGCCTCGAAACGCCAGACTACTCGAACCGAAGACTCTGCCTATTGCCTACTAGGTATTTTTGATATCAACATGCCTTTGCTGTACGGCGAAGGCGAGAAAGCCTTTGCCCGGCTGCAGTCTGAGATCCTGCAAGAAACAAACGATCTGTCTCTACTTGCCTGGACCTCATCGGCCACGGATCCAGAACGACAAGAAAAATACAGCGGGCTGCTTGCAAAGTCACCGTCCAACTTTATCGCATGCTCAAATCTGAAGCTGATCAACAACATGAGTCTGTCTGAAGACTTTGAAGTTGGCGTGACCAGGACGAAGTTCTCAATCAAAACCATGCTCTGGTTTATAGATGGCCTCGGCGACAATGCCGGCACTCGGGATGAAGCAGGATACGTGCTACCGCTACCTTACAGTTTTCTGAATCCAGATTTACCTAAGCCGACGTCTTCAAGAAGCTACCACGACGGCAATTCCATTCCAATCGGTGTCATGATTGCCAAAACATCCTCCGGGTTTGTGCGTTATAACCCCTGGAGTTTAATCGCACAGTTTCACAGCATAGAAGGCCGTTCAGCACCAAGCCTTCCAGAGATACAGGCTTTGAATACGTGGCTTTACGACCAGAAAGCCAAACCCCTCAAGCTAGTACGTCAGTTCACTTCCGAAGCGGCCTTGGAATTGCAGAGTACTAGGTTGAAGAACGCAATATTCGTTTCTATCGATGCCCAGCTCCTAAACGAGGGTCCATTCGAGACTCTCCTTGCACAACCTCAGGCGTTATGGGATCGCCTGAATCGAGTATTTCTCGACAAAGCCAAGCAGGAAGCAGTTGTCGGCATGATGGAAGCTCGTTTTTTACAATTTTCTCTTCTTTCGGGCGAAAAAGTTTTACTCGTTTGCGCCATTACCGAGGGCCTCGAAATTAGACCCCGCCTATGCTGGGCAGCTTTGCTGAACTACGAAGAAGATGAGATGGGTAGATGGATGATCGACCAACTTGGCAAGTGGGATGAAACATCAGCCTCGTACGCAACTGCCCGACACATGTTGAATTTGATTGTAGAGCGAAGGGGATACGAAACATACCCTTCCTGGCCGGCTTTACAACTATGCCCAATAAAGTACTTTGCGACAAGCATGACTCCGGCTTCGCGCACCATCCGGCTGTCTGACGGTACGGAGGAAGAGGTCACAGTCAGCATCATTCCTCATGACGCAGCCGAAGGCGCCTGCGAGGTCATTGTTTCGTTCAAGAAGGAATCTCAACTATCTCCCGGGAACAGCTCAGACGCCATTGTCGATTAACAAGACATCTCCATTGAGCGTGATCCGCCCACCACGACCCGCGGCGAATCTAGCATAAACTCCACCCGATCCAGAGACCACAACAACAACACGGAGGCAAGATGGCCGAGCGGTCTAAGGCGCTAGCTTCAGGTGCTAGTCAAGTAATTGGCGTGGGTTCGAATCCCACTCTTGTCATGTGAAGCTATCACGGGCTTAACCTTTTGGAGTATTTGGAGAAATCGTGGTGTTGAACTTGGATAATCTCCACGATTATCATCCGCCAATCCTTCCTTTTTCACTCCTTTTTTGGCAGACGCAACAAAAAATCTAGTTGATTTCATGTGTGGGTCCACTCTCATTCCGCTGCTAATGTGAAGGCCGCTTTTCTCCGACTTCTTCGCATCCTTGCACCTCATTGATGGAAAAGGTTTGTCTACTCAAAGCTCAATTCAAATGGCGTAGAGATTTACTCGCATTACGCAAGTCTGTCTCATCATGTTTTGTCTCCATAACCTCTCTTTACATGCCTTTGACTATGGTAAGATACTTCGGGTGAACAACAACGTGCCGGCGGTGTAAGTCAAGCCCCGATAAGCCAAGACACCAATCATCAGTCTCTCAACAACGAAAGAGCGTTCGCGTCAGAAAACGTTACCATTCTTGGAACTCCAGCTATCTCGCTTACCCTGCCAAATGTCCATCGTTACAAAACTTGTCCCTGAACACAACTGAACGAAGCCGGTCCAACAAGCCCTCCAGCGCAAAGCCAACCCCATATGCCTATAATCACTTCTTCATCCCGGATACATGCATATCCCCCCACCGGTCCCCAGTCCTCTAACCACAATCAGCCCATCCACATCTCATCCCTGATCCCACCCACCTCACTTATACACACCCCTTCTCACCCTCGCGAAACCTCAAACGAACCGCACCGCATCCCAAAACACAAAATAACATACGTCCTCCGGTCGGACGATGCTCATAAGATGAAGAAGGGAAACCTGACACCAAAGGTAAGGGGGTTAGGAAAAAGACGAAACTTTCCCCAAATGATGAGAACCTCCTGAACTGACAACACCCCCCTTCCCCATAGACCATCACGGCCCCTCTAGCCGCCTTCACGATGGCCTGTATCCTCTTCGCGTAAGTCTTACACTTGGGGCCATCTGTCTCAAGGTTCACATGACGATACGTCTTCTCCGGATGTCTGCTGTTCAGAAGGATCGTGAGGTGAAAGCTAATATCGAACCAGATACACCCGCTCATCAATCCGCTCGGCGCGTGATCAGGCCGTACGTCTACCCATCTTCCATCCCCCCTTGGAAAGCGCTATACAGCAGTGGGAACTTCGGGATGAAGAAACTGACGTTTGTGCAGAGACATCCCCACGGCCCGAGCCATGGACCCGGCAACGGTAGCCCGTCTTGAGGTTCCCAATGCATTGGATCTTGTGAGCGTGGCGCCAAAACCACGCTGTGCTGAACGAACGCAGCGCGGCAAGTTCACCGAATAGACACAGAGAAAGGCCACATCTCCCACAGCATCGATCACTGCCCCTCTGTATCAGGAGTTGCAGACCAAAAAGCTAGTTCAATGGCAAGGAGGAAAGCAGTAGGGCTTTCGCGGGTTAATTTTCGTTATTCTTTTTTGGAGTTTGTTTCACGGTTTTCTAATGTAGTTATACCCCCTCCCTTCTCTGCCCACGTTTCTGTCTCTGGCAACTGCGGACTGCTCAATACCAAAAGAGAGTGAAGACACAAACATGGCTTCAGTGTGTTTTCGTATCAAACTCCTTGTATACTCCGCGCCAAACAAGTGTAATGCTACAAAAGTGAGCCGCCCTACTTCCCGTCGGTAGGAATAAACAATGCCATGCTCCCCCCGCTTCTCAACTATGAACTACCATAGGTGTCCGAAATCGGTTGTGAACTAGGAAAGAAAACCATCCTTTGCATGTGATGAAGATGAGGGAGGGATGGGTCGAAGGTCCCATCTCTCAAGTAAAGAAAGGGGAAGTATTGCTTGGTTTCCGTGACCTGAATCGAGTTTGTCTATACCTGACGACCAAAGTTAAGGGTATCTGGAAAATCCCATCCCCATTTCCTAATCTCAACATCTTCTCTTTTCCCCTCGAGACTGCTAAAACGCACATATTGCCTTGACAAGTTTCTCTCTCTCCACTTCTGTCTTCTTCGAAATGAGACCGCTCTCTCTGGCTTCTGCCCTACCAGATCATGGCTCGGCAGGTGTACCCCTTCCTAATTTCCTCTTGCCCTCGCTCCTCGCATGATTCAAATGTTTCATCGCAAACTCATACGTCAGCATCGTCACTGTCGCGGCCGGCACCGCTCGCATCATGTTAGTGCCCATGCCAGCGTAGAAGGCCCTCCAGCCCTCCTCTTTGAGGATCGTCCGGAAGGTGCTGACCACGCCGCGATACTTTGGTGATAACGGCTGCTGCGGTTTGCCGTCCTCGGATAAAGGGACTTTGATTCCCAGACCCTGTAGATACTCGGCTCCTCCCACGGGCTTTCTCTGTGTCTGCAGTCTCGTGCGGATCACCTCGTGAGGGTATGTGGCACTGCTCGCCATGATCTTCGATAATATCGAAGCACCCAGCACTCCCATCCATTGCGACTCTTGAGAATCGCCCTGAGTCGGCTCTCCCATACCCTGGCCAGTGAACCTCGTTTTCAGATACTCATATGCTGGGAACTGCACTGCCACGTGCGTAAGTCCCAGCAAGGCGGGTGTGAGACCAGAGTAGAAGGAAAGGACGCCCTCGGAAGTGTACATCTTGCGTGCCGCATCGATTGTTGACCGGTAGTGCCATGAGCTGTGATTTGTCGGTCTGGAAGTTGGTGTGTTGCCCGATCTCGGGAACTGCGAATGATACTTGCCCGGGTCATGGGCAACGCTTTGCGACATCAAGCGAGTCTTGATTACCCAAATGGGATTCGTGACGACAGTGCTACTGGCACCAGCGATGATGGATGACCAAAAGTTGATCAACACCGTGTTGTCTGTATCTCGAGTCAGCCAACATGACTCCCACAACGCCCCAATAACAGAGACTTCCACTTACCATGACGGTGTTTCAACCAGTCCTTGCTCTTATTGTAGACGGTAAACCATACAGCCCAGGTGGGCAAATAACCCAGTACTATCGGGCCGAGTCCCCTATACATGCCGCGTATTCCCTCGTCCTTCCAAATCACACGGGCGGTGCCAAGCAGTCCATTGTAAAGCTTCGGGCCATGTCCGACATGTCTTCCCTTCTCAACCGGGTTGAAGCCACCCTGGGCCTGCAATTTGGTCTTGATAACGTCGAGCGGGCACGTAACAACGCCCGAGGTAAATCCTCCCACAGCACCGGACAGGGCGTTGAACTGGGCGTCGGAGGCGCCAGCTGCCCACCGCTCAAAGGCAGTAATCGTCTCGTTGGTGGGCATGACAGCAACGGCCTCTTCAATAGCAGCTATCGCTGCGCGGGCAGGAGCTGTGGCTGGGTACGCTCTCGAGCTGCTGTAGTTGGGATATGTCGAGGTCGGGTAAGGCCCATATTCTTCGTCGTTGGGGTGCGGTGCGCCTCGTTCAGCGTCGGGTTGTTCGTCGTGAGACATCCCCTCTCACTGTTGAGGATGATCGGGATTCAGAAGTGCGGAGGTTAGGCGCAAGCTGGGTACGGTATCAGCAAGGAAAAGGCGGCGATGTCCCGCTATGTGTGCTGGTTCTCGGAGAACTGGATGCGAAGAAAAGTGCGGGTAGACTAGAGCCGGTTCTCTCGGTGTATTCGTCGTGATTTGTTCGACGTTCGTGCTGCTTCTTTGGTGTCTTTTCTCTTTGGCCGTCTCTCCGTTTGTGTCTGTCGTGTACGTCTCAGTCTGGTAGCTGGATAGATGCTGGACCTTCCCAAGTGTCCCGGTATGCGGGGAACGCTCCCACGCCGCCGTGACACTGAACGACTAGCGGTTATCGCAGCCCATTGGCCTTGCGGGGGAACAGTTGTCTAGGGCAGGTATTCGAGAACGGTTCTGGCGAGAAGGAGGCTCCCAAGCACACGGGATCGGGAAGTGAGGGGTGAGAAAGGAGGCGGACGGCGGAGAAGGGGAGCAGGACGAGAGGTGGTGGTGGTGGTGGTGGTAGTCGGTACGGTACGCAGTAAGAGCGCAGTCGGGGGAGTTGGAGATTGGATATTGCGAAAAAGCGCCGAGGTGGAGCGGGACGGAGCACGAGAGCAAAATGATGCGAGCTATCGGCTGTCTTTTTGGCAGGAGGTCCCCACGCTCAGGGTACTCTTACAGGTGGAGGCAGCCGCAATCTAGTGGGCTGGGAGGGAGGAAGGAGCAGTTGGAGCGCTGGATAAGATGTGCCGGAGCAGGTCCACGGGTGAAATGGGCTGCTGAAGGAAGGGACCTGTGCGATGACGCGCCCGTTGCTTTTCTGCCGTTAAGCAAAGAGTACCACTACGAATAAACCACCGAGGAAGACGGGAAGCTTCCCTCGGGTGCTGGCTCAAACCCCGGGAGCTGCCGATATTCCCAATTCTTGTTTACAGCCCTGGATGATCAGCAACAGAAGATGACGCAGTGTCGTTTGTCTCACGTTAATGACTGGCAGCTATGTAGTCTGGTGAGATGTATATTTCGCTCCAAACAGTTGCCAATGTCCTTGTGAGAAGAGCTGCGATTAAAAAGACAAGAGACGCCAAGTGTCCAAAAGACATCCCAGACGACGTCCAAAGTCTCTGAATCGCAATCCCAAAAAGCCCAGAATGAAAAGTTTCAAGCTTCCAGACCATCGAAGGGGAGCTCCACCTCCGCCGGTTCCCTGCGGCTTTGCCCAGCACCACAAAATGCAATTCCCAATCATTCGCAGCAGGGTCTGCAGTGCTATCGTGGGCGGGCATCCCGTTGGTAGCTCCAATTACCTCATCGGGCCCGGGATCCAATCACGAAATCTGCACCTCTGCCTCTGGGTGGTCCGTGCTGCCGGGTCTTCTCATCAGCCACATTGTAGTCATGAGCCACACCTAACGTGGCGCGTGCCGGAATCTGAAGGATGATCACATGACCTGTCCGTCCCGAATCGTTGCGCATCTCCGGGATGCTCCACGAATTTCCCATAGAGTCCCAACCTCAGGCGATCCGCAAAACCGTACTCCGCGGCATTATATCGAAACCTCTCCTCTCCGCGCCTACCACGCACCACATAGCCGCCACAATGACTTCGCTCATTTCCAAGCAGCTCGCCGACGGCATTCTTGCCCGCCCCTTCCTGAAGAGCATCTTCGTCCCCTTCTCCAACTGGTACGCCAACGCTGCCGGCCACCGCAAGCTCGGCTTGAGGTAAGCAACTCTTCGACAACCCGACCACAACAATTGCCACCGAGGCTCCGGAAGACAACACAGAAACTAATTGCCAATTTTTCCTTCGACTGCAGATTCGACGACCTCATCGAGGAGGAGACCGATATCGTCCAGAAGGCCCTGAAGCGCCTCTCCCCCAAGGAGTCCTACGACCGCGTCTACCGCATCCGCCGCGCCGTCCAGCTCTCCTACCAGCACAAGCTCCTGCCCAAGAACGAGTGGACCAAGCCCGAGGAGGTGCGCATCCCGGACGATTGAATCGAAGAGACACATGAGGACTGACCCTCAACTATAGGACTACCCCTACCTCGGACCCATCATCCAGCAGATCCAGGCTGAGGAGGCCGAGAGGCTGGCCTTTGAGACCATGGAGGTCCAGAAGAAGCACCACTAAACTACATCTTCCTGGTGGGGGATCACGTTTGGACTGAAAGGAGGCGAAGAGAGCGAGCCGCGCGCACGATGCTGTAAAGTATGACGAAGGGGAACCGCCTGGCCGGGCGCGCGACAGAAATTTAGACCAGGGGGGCGAACGAGTTTAGAGAGAACCAAGGCCAGGCGGTTCGTGTACCTTATGTATAGACCTTTGGAGGGGGTTGCTTTCTCGTCAATTGGAACTCCCTGCTACACTTACAGGTTCCGCTGCGCTCGAATAGCACCAATTGATGACACTTTTTTTTTGGCCTTGGAATATCAATGTTCTCACGGTTGCCCCCCCCGGCCCGGGTTCGCGGAAGCTAGCTGACATTGTACGCACTCTCACTGGTCGCAACCCACAGACCCACTGCAGTGCATCAACATCATGAGTAACGACTTTCTTTGACGGCTTACTGCGTTGAAGGACGTTGAATACACTGATGCTGTCGCTGCCGAATTTCCTCAAAACTGTCGCTATATGGGAACCCGCATCTCAATCTTTTTATAGTCTAGGTTCATTGCACTATTTATCATGTCAATTGATCGCAATCACTTTTTCGCATACGGATACATCATCTGCGAGATTCAGTTGGCGGTGCCTTGCTATCAATGAGGCTGCAAAGATATGGTCGACAATCGGAATCAACATTACATCAGCACCTAACAAGATACAATCGAATCTCGGGGCGTACTTCTTGAGTCAGTGAACTCATAGTGATCATGTATCGAGAAAACTTTACTATTGGACTGCGCTGGCGACCCACAGGTAAAGACCATCATTAAAAGGAGATGGTGTAGCACTGCCCGTCAGTGCAGCTATTGACGAATTGAGGTGCAATCATGGTGGGCTTCTTGGCTACGTAACGCCTTCCACAAAGTATTCAGTTCTCGATTTGAATTCTTGGTAGATCAGGTGGAGCACCAAGCTTTCGTTCCTGCGAATATTTAATAGTAAGGGTGACTAAAAACAGATATGCATACGCCCGCAAGACGGATTAGTGAAAGATGATCTCACGTCGCCAGTTAGCTACAATTCTTTACATTCCCCTCTGTTATACGAGCAGCTATCTTAGGAGAAGGGCTGACGTGTAACTCTTCTCACTCATGCCTAGAAAGACTGCACAAAAGTAGTAAAATTCCCGAATTCACGGTTCCATGCTCACTTGCAGCAGATTCGTAATTCTGCCAGTGTTGGATATCTTGAGAGAGGATCCGAGGATGCAAAGGCAATTCAAGATATGGTCAACATCACTTCACATCAAAGCAATCTTCACTCCAGACGACCAAAGGCGAGACTCCGTAACTTGCCGCTCATTGCTAGAGCAAAGTGACAATAGCCAGTGAGCTCATTCCCCTAAGACCTGTTACGGATCTAGTATAACTCGGTTGTTACGTGAACCCTCATAAGCTAGGTATGAAGGAAAGCATGGGCACTCCGAGGCTGTCCAATGGCCTCCAAAGAGCCATAAATGTATAGCCACGCTCCCAGTGCGAAGCGCCCCTTTCCAGGTATCTTCAACTCTACCGCCGCTGGACTTTAACAAAAGTAGCACTCCATTCACAGACAACGGAAGGAAACCAGACACCAGCGAGTCCAGTAATGGCAATTTGCGGGCGGTCTCCATCTTGTTGTTCGTCATAAGCTGATAGTACAGCTAGGAACGACAATACACAGGGCCATTGCCGCATGCAAGAACACCATCAAGATGAAGAGGCTTATGGAGCTGACCACACCATCTTCCAAGCAAGTGGACATGGTTTCCCGCGTGTTCTCGACTGCACCAAGCTGCATGCAAACTACACCTCGAGATTCCTTCCAGGCCGAACAGGAAAGCTGCACCAAAGCCCCCTTCGAATAAAAATACAATTATATAGGAAGGAAGAAGGGGGAACACTAAACTCATAATTCACGCCCAACCCAGACCCAAACAGCGCGCCCTTCAGTCAACCCAGAAACTCTGACCTCATTGGAGCCTTTGTTTTTATGAACCACTCGACCACTTCGCACACAGCTTAACCTGACCCGCCGACCTACACGGACGCTGATGTGCGGGTGACAGGAGCGACGTTGAGGGTGGTATATATAACCTTGGATGCCTAATGAAAGGTAAGGCAAGGTAAGTCCGTCACCTAGATGACCACCTGAGAGGGAACGAGGGACCTCGTTCATGGGAAGGAAAGGTCTGGGTGAGGGGCTACTACAATTGAGCGCCAAACGGTGTTCGGATTTGATTCGTAGATTGCTCCGTCAAAGTCGAGAACCCTGTATTACTTTTAGGAAAGAATAGTGACATGATGAAAAGTGTCTTCCCGTCTACAAGGCAAGATAAGCGCCCCTCCGTCCCCTTCCCCCGCTCCCACCCTCCGCCCAGCAACACGAGAAGAGAAAAGGGACGACGGCTATCGCAAGACGTTTCACGCATCAGTCAAGGCCTTGGCCTGACGAGTACTCCTGCTTGCCCTAAGCCATGGCACGGCGCGCTGATCTGAGAGTGAGAGTGAGAGTGAGATAAGCTAGGACACAGGTGCGTAGTTATCGTATAGACGGAGAGGCTAGGCCAACCACAGCCCTGTGTCCAACAAGGTTCTGAATGATATACAGTCGACTGAACTCAGTCTATGGCCCTGGCCAGCCGCCATCAGACTATAGACCAAGGGAACGAGTTCACAGCACGACAGACGATAGAGAGTAGTTTCGGGACAAATCAAAATGTATAAATTACGCCTCTTTGAACTCCAGAGTTTCCTCATACCCTAGCTATCACACTCATTCGTCGAGAGGAAACTTCAACAAGCAATTCTTCTCTCGATAAAGTGCTGCTTTCGTCACCACATACCAAAGTCCGAGGCCGAATAGGGGGCTTCCCTTCCTATGTTGGGCGTTACCTTTCCCCCTCCTATGCTAACGGGTGATGTAACCAAGTCTATTATTACAGCGAGGCATCCTTTCATGCGGTATGAGTCGCCAAAGGAGCATCCCTCTTCTCTCCGTCCGTCTTGCGTTTCATGGCCAGCTCATTCAAGTAGTCGACGTCGAGCCAAAGAAAGGTCAGGTTGTGGTCGGATATATATGTGGCGCAAAGTCGAGCTCGTGGTTACCAGAGCAGCCGGGGCATTTACCAACACTTGGGCCTCCCAACCATCATTCGTGGGCCAAGAAGCTTGGGACCAGTATCCGGAAATGCCTCCTCGTGAAACGCTCCCAAGTACCATGTGTGTGTATCGTTACGTGGTCATACAGTGCTGTGCTCCGCCAGCCGCATTCCGCGGACCAAGTCGGAAAAAATCGTCGTACAATCGAAAGGAATTAGGCTAAAAACGCATCCTTGATGGGATCATGCGTTTCCGGGCTTCTCCTCAGTGTCAATGTGCCATACGACGTAGTTGGGCAGACCGACGACTCGGTAACCAGCGCGCTTGGCCATCTTGGCAAAGCCCTCTGTCTCGGCCTGGTTCTCGAAGGCGTAGCACGGGAAGTTTATTCCTGCAAAGATTAGAAAAAAGCTCGGTATTTCAGGCACAAGGTGAACAAACCTGATCTGTGGACATCTCCCTTTACGAGAATGTTGACGCCACCAATACCATCGAGGTCGAGCTCATCATCCTTATTGTTGCGCCAGTCGCCCTCCTTGGCCATGTATCTGCGTCCGGTATCGTACTCCTTGTAACCTAGTGGCTTGTGGTTAGCATCCGCTTACAGGTACTAGAAGCAGCATCCCTTACCTTCGGCGAGGACGACGTCCTTGTCCAAGCTAGCTGACAGTCTACGGCCCTTGTCAGACTCAACCCAAGAGTTGTAGTCAAAGCGACCCTCGATGTCACGGCCATCGCGGTAGCGGTGGAACCAAATGTCTGCCATATCGTCAGCATTTTCCATGTCGTGGCCATACGGAATATGTACTTACTCGGCACGAGGATGTCGGTATCGTGGGCAATGAAATCTTCCAGAATCTTCTTGGGGCTGTCGACGATATCCACGTCACGCCAGTAGATCCAAGAGTGCTCGGGCTTCATGGCAGCAGAAAGGAGGTAGTTGCGAGCCTTGCCCATGGCCTTTCGTCGGGGGCCCTGGGCCTTGAACGAGTGGCGTTCCTCAACGCTCTGGCTAAGCTCGAAACCAAAGTCCTTCTCGACAACCATGGCGCTGTTGAAGGGGATCTTGTCAGGACGGCGCTGGATGCGGTCCAGCTCGGAAGCGAGAACGGCGAGGGTATCGTCCTTGGAGTCACCGACAAGGAAGGCGAGATCGATCAGGTGGTGAGGGTACGTCAGCTCGGCAATCAGCTCAAAGTACTTTGACAGGTACGGAGCAGCATCCTTGAGAGGCGTGAGAATCAGAACGCGCTCCTCGTTGGTAACGGCCTTGCGCGTGGACTTGATAGGGTTGAGGTCGACGTGGATGATGGAGGTATGGTTGATCTCCAGGGGCTCGTGGTGGTTGAAGATGACGGGGGTTTGAAGGTGGCCGGCCCACGAAGCTTGCTCATTGAGCGACATCTCCATGGGGGGTTTCGCGGGGCCCCAGCAGTAGAAGCTGCGCAAAGTCGCAAGTTAGCAAGCCATTATTTTCGCGGCGCATCGCAGGAAAATATCGCGCCCCTTAAGGAGGGAGAATGGCTACGTAGGTGAAAACTTACCTCTGCATTTCCGAAGCTGACGAGCGAATACCGCGCCATAGTAGCAGAATGGTGCCGGTCAGGGCAACAAGAAGAAGAAAGCGCGTTCTAGTCAAGAAAGACCATACTGCTCTGGTGGGAGGTAGTCTTGCCTGGGCAGACTTCCAGTTGATTCCGCCTTTGGGAAGAAGCATGGCTCCTGAGAATGAAAGGGTGGTCTTTGACACCACCCGAAAAACACGTCTTTATAGAAAGAAGAAAGTGACCGACAGGTACCCCGGCACGACGAGTGTGCACAGTCGCAGAATTGCAGACGTGAGAGCGTCCTCTAGAGGTCGTAGCTGTTGACTTATCGTCGCTGTCGTTGCGCTAGGTGGGAGCTGCAAGTATCGCTTAAGGGCGGCCGACGGTCGGTGATGTCGCGCAAACAAAAGACGAAGTAGCACAAGCCTCCCCAAGACAAGTCCGAGTCGACAATCGAATTGCTGAGGCAGACGAAAGCAGGAGGTTAAGTGATTGGGCAGTTTCGTGTCGTCCGATAGACAGCACTGGTTGCAGCACACAGTCTCCAGAAGGGGGTGGGCCAAGGCTGACGAAAGCCAAAAGGTCGTCGATTGAGTTGATAAGGGTTGAGAGGTCCAGAGATAGGTAGCAGGGCGACTCAGTATCAGGGATCCCGTTGAAGGATAAGGTGGTATGCAGTGCGATGCAGTTCGCGCTCTCAAGGCGGGTGTGCAAAGGTGTACTTTGGTGCTCTTCCAACCTTGTTGAGGTCCTCAAAGGGAATGCGAGATGAATTCGGCCAGAAGTTTTGTCGAGGGCAAGAAGACCAAAAGCGAGGGACGTTCGGGTAAGCCCAGCAGGAAGGGGAAGGAATTGAGAAAGGAGCCACGCCAATGCTGAAAGGGCCCCGAAAAAAAAAGGGTCGACCGGGAGGAAGAGCGACTGGTGTGGCAGGCTTGGATGGTATAGGCTAAGGCACGTCGAGGCAAGGCAGGCGCAGGCAGGCTTGGGTTGGAGGGAGGCAGGGTACATGCAAGTACGCGGGAGATGGAGGGCAGGCACACTCAACTTGGAGATTACAACAAGTACCTCACCACCTCTCTCACCTTATTACTCTGCACCACACCACCATACTCTCCGAATTCAAGCGTACAGACCACAGCTTATTGCCTCAGTCCGCGGTAGGCGAGTGAGAAAGACAGAGAGGAGAGAACACATTGGCCTGAACCACGGAACCCGCCAACTTTGCCTGCTGGACCCTTACCTTAGCACCCGCATCATGACTGTTCTATAAAGTAGGTAATACTTGTCTGCCTGCCCATTGAGGTAGGTACTTTGGCTGACTTTGGAACAGGTGCAAAAGCAGCTGCAACCCGCGGCTCGACAGCAGCAGAATACGAAGAATGAGCCAATGGCAAAGCCTCAAAAAGTTTAATCAGGTTAGCAGAGGTATCGTCTTGTACCGACAGCCCTCAGCACGCGAGATTGCCGGAGCTGCCAAGCGCTTCTGGACTCAGGAGACACTGTGCCGCAACCTGAAGGTACTTCGCCCTTTTCTCTGGTCTCTCTGTTTCTCTCCTTGTCCTACGGATACTATTCTCCCGTCCATTTCCCAGGACCTCATAACTGCAATTCAATTCCACAACGTGTCTCCCCGCTCATCTTTCCAGGATCAACACACGGGGGCTTCGTGGGAAGCACGCGCCCCCTTTCTACCGTCCATCTGTCAGCAAGTCAACCTAGAATCCTGGATGCTTGCGGCTTGTGGCCTGCCATCGAATTCAGACTTTAGACTTCAGCATGAAGGAGCGGGAGCCTGAGTAGCCAGCGGGAAATCAGCTGAATGACACAACCGCTCGCCAAGGGACAGGTTATCTCTCGGAGAGCAGAAAAACTTGCAGGCCTACCCCAGTGTTCTCCAGGGTGCCCGGCCGCATCCCCAAGCACGGAACACCTAACGACAACAGTGTGGTGTCCTTACGCGGTAGAGAAACCACCATACCCTCCCCGGCGTTCTTGGTGCAAATGGGATGCTGTAGAATCGCTAACCGTACTGAGTACAGAAAGCACCCAATGTCAAGAACTCGCTCGTCTACCGAGGCCTGAAAAACTAGACGTCCTCGAACTGGCCCAGAAGCCTGACAGCGAACTACTTCTTTTGTTCGACTGCTGTCACTCTGTCGGTTCAACGGCGCTACGAACCCTAGGCCCGATAGACGATGGCTTACGGCTCTCTCCCCCATCGTTCAGGACCTCACTTCCTCAGTTTCTAATGTTATTTTACTGATAGATGGCGCCGATGGCACGCAGCTCCACCCTTGCTTTGCCCAATATCCGATGTTACGGCACCACATACCAACGCAGGTAGCGACTCCCCGATGCTGGCCTGTGCGAATGCCTGGGCTAGAACCGCTATCCGCATCTCGATTCGTCCAACCGTTATTATTGACCGTGGCACGCCGCACACCCACACTCACATGGCACGCTCAATTCCTATTACCCGCAACAAGAAAGTTCAAGCTCTTCTTGCAGCTGTACTACTGTATGCTAGGATTCGCGAGAAGCAGAGACGAATCGGCCCAAGATAATTCTTCGTCAAAACAACAAGCTAGGCCATTCCAGCCAACCCACCACCCCCTGGAAAGTCTTAGGAAATGCATGGCACGGGAAGACGGCGAGAATCGAGAGATGGATGGAGACTTGACAGAGAGGGGGGGGGAAGGGAAAGGCAGGGATCGCTGTCAATCTCCAACCCGCCACATCCACTATCCCACTCACGCACGCACGCGATTGTCACACCCGGAAGACAGAAAAATGGAGATATTTCCAGCTGTTCAACTCTCCGACCGCCAATGCACAGCAAACTTTCTAGATTTCGTCTCCAGCGTCCCTCTCTCCCCTCTCTTTTCGTTTGTTCCGCTCCGCGACTGTCTCCTCACGGGCAGCGAAAGGGACAATGCTTTTCCCCTCCGGCCTTCCAAAGGCCCAGGCCGCGTGCCGGCCATGGATCAGATGGAGCAACAGTCGTCGTCATCCGGCATCATCACGGGCATAGACGATGGATCCTATCCCCCCACAGTTCCGCCGTTGCGTGTGCATTTTGTCAACTCCTGATTCAGCTTACAAGGTGCGCTTACAGGAGGTAGGGGAAACCAATGGATGCAAAAGATGTTGCTCTTCGAATGCTGTCTTGCTGATCGTCCTACTCCCCGCCCGCCTGGTCAGGCCGTTGGTCGCGTGCACCGCATGCTGTCCACAACTCCCGGGAGCGACGGCCCAATTATGCACACAGCACCATCGAATCATCGATTCGACGGTGATCTGTCACCCTTAAATATAGCAACATGCCAACGTCCATCTTGTGGGAGCTCTCCATCCTACATTTAAGCAAGGAACTGGGCTACTATTTACCACACACCAGGCAGCATGGTGACTGATTGTCAGTTATTTACCTATCCTCGCCTGGTAGATGAAGGGCATGAAGCCGGATTTCGCATTCGATTTCGTATACACAGGAAATAGTCCTCGTCGACCGTTGGCCACATGATATAGATTAGCAAAACCAGCCCAAGCTACAACTCGTATATAACGAATACGACCCCAGGTGTAAAAACGGGACCACGTCATAGCACTGGCATCATGTCATTCCCATGTTCGCACAGCCAACACGGCAAGAGACCTGCGTTGCCACTGGTAT